TGATAAAATGTGGTAATACAATAGTTTGCTTAAAATGTTCAATATATATTAGTTATCATGTTTTGTATGGTTGGGTGATTTTTTTTTGGTCCTCGGAAACAAAAAAAAAACAACCTTATATATAAAATTTTGACCGTGAGCTAATAAGGGCCACAAGATAACATGATAAGATTAGAGGTCAATCCACATTTTTATGGAAAGTATCACAATTCCCTTAATTACAATTTATAGAATATGTAACTACTTATGCAACTTATAACTGCGTTTGTAATAATAATAAAAAATTGTGATACTTTTATTTTTTTGTTGAGCATTCCATAAATAATGTTCAACAAAAAAGAAATAAAGGGTTGTGTACCACACAAATTAAAACATCTTCTATATATTAAAAACATTGGAATGTCATTGATGTGTCAACACAATATTTTTTTCTAGCTTTTTTATATAATTAAAAATGCTCTAATACTTACTCCTACTATCCTCCTAGCCAAACATCATTCTAGCCAAACACTCATATTCTACTAACCAAACATTATTATAATTATTCCTATTAAATTCGAATCCAAAAGTGTTAATGTTAATTACAAAATTAATTTCAGAATAAATTTAAATAAATCCGAATATTCTTTCACAATCTTCTAATACCTTTTAAAATAATTAAAAATCCTCAAATACTTACTCCTATTAACCTCTTAGCCAAACATCCATCTAGCCAAACACTTCTACTATTCTACTAGCATAACATAATTACAATTATCTTCAATATATTAAAGGAGAGGTATTTTGGAATTATTTTGTTTAGGTGTCAAATTCTCAATTTTTTTGGAGTTTTTAACTAATAATTAAATCCTACTATTAATTATCTACTATACTATTATCCAAACACTCCACAATCATATTATTTATCTACTATACTATTATCTAAACACTACGCAATCACACAATCCTTCCAACCAAACATAATTAGAATATAATTTTTTATTTGTTTCTTAAAACCGTATTTTTGAAGATTATAGTATTAAATAAATATATTTTATTAAGAAGTGATATATATTAACTAAGAACTAAAAATTTGTTATTTTAATTTCAATTATTTCACGAGTGGAATATATTTCTATACAAAGTAATTACAAAATTTATATATATAAAGGAGTTTTAGATTCCGTATAATAATTTTACTAATAACTATATATGATTTTTTAAACTAAAACTTTATTAATTTACTTGCGTATCACATTATCCCGCGTATAACGCGGATAACTATCTAG